CATAGGTACTATTATTATTTATTAAATTATATAGCTACGATGCGTGTGATTGCAGCTAGGGGGGAGACTTGTACGATTCGACTACAGCGTGTCTATTAGGTTAATTTAGTAMATCTCATCCGTATTTTCGCGGTGGCTCTCGTATTTATATGTATTATATTATAATACTATTGTTACATACCTATACTTGATGTTGTTATGTTTATGTAATATTTAAATGCTATTGTACACATTACTGCATTAGCTACGTTTGCAGGAACAAAGTATTTCAAATGTACTAATTTGAAATTAAATGCTGATTTGTAACTTTATATTTCAAATAATAAAAAATGTTCTATTATAAGTCTAAGGTGGCAAATCCTATTTTTGATCTATTCACTAAGTCCCATATCAATTTAAACAAATATTTATGTCCCAAATTATATACGAATTTCGGTCCAGAGTACTCATTAACAAGTCACTAGTCTGTATTACCTAGCTATATATATATAGAAACCTATTTGAAAGGATTTGATATCTAAAATATATTAATTTGTATTTAAATTATTTTTTTTCAAGCTATTCAATGTACGTATTTAATTTCACATTATGTTACTATACTATAAAAGAATATATGATACTCTTTTAAATCTCCCCAAAAAGTTGCTTCCATCATCCATGCTACCTATATATTTCTTACAGGTCTATACATAAATATAGGTACATACTGCACATCTATATAAACGTTAAAACGTGTCATATACTTTATATACCTACTTAAAGAATAACTTTTTAAGAAAACAAGTAAATTACCATATTATAATATATGCATATTTCATATTATGCAAACGCTAAAATACACACATATCATTACTCTATATTATATTATATGCCTAATCGTTGTATTAAGTTCTCAAAATATGTATGAATTAAATTTTGTACAAATCAGAAATATTTTTATTTAAAACTAGGTTAATAAAACATTCGCGTCATAAAATAAAAATCAGTATATAATTTTTGACATATTCAATAAGTAGGTACGATTTAATTGTAAGTYAAATGTGATGATATTGAAAGACGCTTTAAGTGCTCATAATATTATTTGTGTACTTCTGAATTTATCGGAATATTAAACAATGCTTTATATAATCGTTATATCTATCAGATATCTGTAATCACTCCTTAATATAGGTACCAATGATTTACTATGGCTTGATAAATAAATGAAATTATAGTATACATTTTTTAACTGTTTAATTTTTACACGAACTGCAATAGTAAAAGCATAGATAATTATCAACTAAATGTCACTTTGAATTCATATAGCATSATTATAAAAGCTCTAAAACTTTAATGTGTCCTCTGGGGCTCAATATATATTAAACTAAATAGTGATAGTTGAACGATCAAACGATTTCAAATTAATCTGTAGTATTATGGACAATAATGAAAATCGTACAAACACCAAAACATTAACAAATTTAATTTGATACCAGYGCGATTTTAACCAAATGCCTATTAATAATTTTTTTTGGATCAATCTGATTATCTGACTATATTTAGAATTATTTTCTAGATGMGATRCGCGTGCATGTGTATAAAGTAATCTAATATTTGTATTTTAAAATGAGGTTTTACAATGTTATACCTAATTAACCGCAATTATTATTATACTTCTGTGTCGAGTTTTTTTTACAATATTATTATAAATTAACTTTACCACTACTTGAGTARTTGAATACAATTCGTTTTCAAACATTTGAAAAAAAAAACGAATCTCCTTCCAAAAGTATAATTTCAAGTAACGTTATAAAAATGTATTGTTATTAAAATATTTGAAGCGTGATGTTTGTGTTATTTGTATTTCCTTATTTCCTCATTTCGGCGTGACGATGGATCATCGAATGTCATAGATTCTTGAATATAGATTGTTTGACTAATTTAACATTCAAGACTTCAAGACCAGAACATAACGGGATTACTAATTCGCATTTTTTTTATTGTTACCTCGGTGGATTGGTGTAGTAAATATTTTTTTCTATGAAACTTTGTGCAGTAACTGATCGATTTATTTAACTTCACAAATTTAATATAAATGACAAAATTAAGAAACWAAACCTATAAAACATTAAACGATATATTAATTTATGTTCTACATAATACCTAAATACCTATATTAAGTAAAAATCTAAAACGATAAATTAGAGTAGGTAAACATTGGTTTTATCCTCGTTACATGCAGTTATGTTGTTATTATATCTTCATGCTATCACCTATATAGAGATATATGTGTAGTGTAYTATTATATTGTAGATTTTGTTTTTTTATTTAGTCAATGAAACCCTTATTATATTGTATTAACATGTAAATGGTAAAAAAAAAATACAATTGGAAACATACATAATAATATTGTGTCAAAAATGAGTAGAATTGATGTAGCTTAAATAATAGGAAATAATTATATCGATTATATGAGTTAAATTTTTAAACTTAATAGGTATAAGATAAGTAATAACCTATATACAATTCAGACAAAATAATTATAATCCCGCTAATTCATTATTTTGTATGCAAAAACAATATTAATTAATTTTCAACTATTGGAGTTAAGCAAAATATTACCTATCTATTTATATAGGCTATATAATACCTATTAGTGTAAAAAAAGGTTTGACAAATTAATCAATTTGATAATTCAAAATAGTAGTTTAYGACGTTGGCTCGCTCTTTTAGCAAGTTATATGTTTAGTACCTCTTACAATATTTAATTTTCAACGCCAATATGATTTATTCATTTTGTAAATTTTGTTAGTATTATAATATGATATTATTTAATGTTATTATTAAAGATTAAATAAATTAACAATTATTTAAATTTTTATTATTAAAGATTAAATAAATTAACAATTATTTAAATTTTTATAGATGGACTTGTATTTGTGCACTCCTATTCGGATAGACCCAAACAAGTCTTACTTTATTGGTAAGTCTAACAATTATAACAAAAAAAATAATAGTTTTAATTAACATTTTTAATTTTATTTTACTTGTTCACATAAAATAAAAAAATCGTATTTTTATCATGCAATATTGGCATTATTAATTATGCTGCATTTATGTGTATTTGGAAACTACAGGGTCGTAATAATAGTACTCGTGAATATCCAAATACGTATTTTAAATAATTTTCAAAATAATAAAATCTTTATCTGAAGTATCTTTTTCAAGACTGGTAAACTACTATAGCCTATAGGCATGGGATGCCCATATGTTATAGTATCTAACACCAGCTTTATACATAGGTAGAACTGGTAGAAGGTATACCTATGTAATATTAAGAAWTTTAATCAAATGTATTTTAGAAAATATTTTTCCAAAGCTTAAAAATTTCAGTCAATATTGATTCATATACTTGCTACAGTAGACTGAATATTATTATTATTTTTTTTTTAGTCGGTTTCGAGCCTAAAGCCCATGGTCATACATCACATCATATGTTACTTTATGGGTGTTCAGAACCAGGAAGTGAAGATCCCGTTTGGTAAACAACGTCCTCCGAGCTTGTTTTTAATTATTATATTATCAGTAATATTTGTATATTAATTTTTTTTTTAAGGAATTGTGGAGAAATGCAAATGGAATCAAGTAAACATAAGTCGTACATGCATTCCAAACCATGTAAATCAGGATCCAATGTTCGTGTTCACCATCTCAACTGAATATTTTTCCATGTACTTCATAATAAAACACTTTATCATTTTCTCAGATTATGTACGCYTGGGCTCGTGATGCACCAACTTTAAAACTTCCAAATGGCGTTGGGTTTAAAGTCGGTGGCGATTCGCAGATCAATTATTTAGTTTTACAGGTTCACTACCACAGGATGTTTGAAGGTTAGTATTATAAATATAAATATGACGTACATAACCCAATTGTAATCATCTCTCAACTTTGTTTGTTTGCATTACTCGATCATATAGTTGAGTATGAGTATGAGTACTAGTCTTAATTGCGGGGGGGGGGTGAGGGTGTCATATCACCCACCCCTTTTACTTATTTTTGTTTTATAAAATATATGATAAAGCTATGAAAATCTCCTCTACATCACATAGTCTGAAACTAATAAAAAAATCAAATCCCTCCCACACTAAAAAAA